GCGGGATGAGTGACGATGAGAGCCAGGGCCTGGACGGTCTTGCCCAGTCCCATGTCGTCGGCCAGGATCCCCCCGCGGTGATGGCTTTTCTCCATCGCCGTCATCCAGCGCACGCCCTGTTTCTGATGCTCCATGAGCGGAACCGTCAAGGCTCCGGTGACTCCCTCGCATGGATCGAGTGCCGCCATGGTTCCGTTCGCAGCCGGTGTGTCGGCATCGGCGGGACTGACGACATCCCAGGGCTCTGGACCGGCGTGCCTTTATTTTGACCCTCGATGTTAGTTTCGTGTGTAGCTTCGATATAACAGGGGCTTTGGGACTACTTGCTCTGGAGGAAGGCCGACAGTGGTCGGCCCCAGTAGGGGATGTCCCGGTACCGAGGGCTCCGGGATGCGATCCTGCGTCACAGCAGCGGACCAAGGGTTGGGTTCGATCGACGACGGAGGGTCCCAAACCGCGTTGGCAATCGGCGCCTGATGGGATACTGCCAGGGCCAAAGGGCCAGGCGGCTCATGGACCATTTCTCCGGAGCGATCGTATTCGCCTTGCACGATCCGATGCCTGGACAGACCTGCCACGCCAACCGGGGCGGTTGCATTATAAGTGCACCCGGATGACTCGAAGACCTGGTCTGGCGGTATCACCCACACAGGACCATCGGCGGATCCGGCTGGCACTGCTTCGAGCGCATGACTGGACGGGGGTGGGGGATGCGGCCACAATGTGAATTCTGCCGGACTGGCCGCAGCCGTTGGGTGCTGTGGTGTGAGTTGGCCTGAATATATCCTGCTGGGCACGCGCGGAGGGGACATGTTCCTTCTTGAGGAGCCAGAGGGCGCCATCGCATACCATGGTGCGGCCGACGGGCTGGTAAGGCTTGGGGTCTGGATTTCGTGCATGGCGGATGGCGGCATCTGTGCTGGACGCCATGCCGCTGACTGGGGGACTGCTCCGGCAACTGTCGGTGCATAATCTGTAGCAGACCCGCTGGGATGATCCTCCATTCTTCTCCGCCTTGGGGGCGCCATGGTTCCTGCGAACCCGTCGGTTTCGTAGATGCGGCGTTTCAGCGGCAGTGATAAGGCCGGTAAATGCTGCCCCAGGGTCAGTGACGGCTGGTCGTGAAAAGTTTCAGGACGGGTGATATTCGAGCGGATGGAAGACCATGTGGGAGAGCCTGAATCTGGCCATGAGACAGGATCGGCGCGGCCTTCCGTCGCTGCTGCAGCCGCCGTTTGCGTGGCGTCCATCGTCTCTGTCGACAGACCGTGAGGCAATTACCCGTAGGAGGGCCATCTCATTGACCGTTTACGGTCTCTTTATAGCTTTGTGCATCGCCCTTCTGCTGCCCACCAGACCAGGGAAAACCCGCGGGGCTCTCGAGACCCACTTCAACCGTTATTGAGGAACGACGCACGCCCAGACGGAGAGAAAATCAGCGTCAGAACGC